AGACTGCACTCACAGGTAACAATGTTGGCATAACGGTTCTTCTTCTTGTTGGCGGGTTTCTTGGCGATATCCACTGGGAAGGCATGGGTATTTAACAACATCTTAAATAGTAAAGAAACATCAAATTAGATGCTTCTGTTACATACAATAGTCTCTATCACGGTTCTCTGCGTCATCTTGAAAGGTAGCCGTGCCTTTACATCGAAGCCAGACAACCTGTTGGGCGTGCAATGAGGGATACCTGTGAATAATTGTCTGAAGGTGTGAAAGAAGGTTTCTATCATTGCTCCCTCAACGGTCGTCTCGCTTCGATGCAAAGGCAGGGCTACCTTTAAAGATACCGCAGGGAACCGTGACGGAGACTATTCAACATATAGTGAATTTCATATTTTATCAGAGGAATTTACCTTAAACTCTTGTTTCAACTCTGAGTAGTCTGTGACCTTCAAAGACTTCATATACTCCAGAAATTGACGTTTTGTCATTGATTTTATGCCACTGTCTTTTGCTTCTTCGTAGACACCCTCTAAAAGATCAGCAAAAATTCATTCCAAAGCCTTAGCGAGTACATCTTTGATTAAATCATAGAGATCATAGAGAAATAGAATGTTCCTTTTCGCAGTTTCCTGCGTCATCTGTAGCCGTTTCGAGAAGTTAAGGCCAGAGCAATGATTGATACCATCACCTCCATAAACGAACATTGATTTATAGGTATCTATCATTTCACGCTCAACAGTAGTCTCTCTTCCATGTAAAGACATGGTTACATTTCAAAATGGCGCAAGGACTCAGGAAGGAGAAAATTATCACGTAAGACAGGATCTGTATCTATTTTTAATTATTACTTTGTGAAGAATCTTGTATGAGATTTGTACCTGAAGGATCGATAACATCAACGTTAACGTACAGTTTCCTGTCGTTTCCGTATCCTGTAGCAGCTGCATTGTTTGAACCTGGAGTCACATCTTTACCATCGTCGTCATTGATATCATCAAGAGGCATAGAAGAGCAGTCGTCAGTTTTTGCGTCACGGTTCCTGTTATAAGAAGAAATGTTTTTTTGTTTTGTTTTGTTTTGTTTCATTCATGGGATAAAGCGCCCAGTCCATCTCTCCTCAAGATCACGCGAAGAGTGTTTTTTGTTAATAGACCCATGATATGCTGAGTTGTTATTTAGAAGAAAATGTAGTATCAAACACATTTTCTCAACTACTAGCACGATTAATACAATTGTGTAAGATTGCTTCCGCGGTGATTGTTACATTTCGTTCTCGAGCAGCGCYMAAATGAAAGTTGATGGCTTTTCCCTTTTAAAAGATGATGCAAACATTTTCTCATAGCATTAACACATTCCGGGTAGTTAACTAACCCACTTCTTGCTTGATTACAAATAAATAATGAGATTTCTTGCATTTTTTTGTATATTTAAATTTCCTGAGTATGGTTTCAGTCTTTTTGTATCTTTGAATTGCTTTTGTACGGATTAAGGGCTTAATCAGACGTTTTATTGTTGGCATTTTTCACTGCCTTTTTTTAGATGAAGTTTTCACTTGTTTGCCCTGTTTTTCTTTAAAGGACATCATCATATAGTAAAATAAATGAGTTCCTGATATGAATACATTGAAAACTACGTTGATAACTACTCCAAAGGGTATGCTAATAGTATGGGAGTACTTTTTTTCGTCGAGCTAATGAACGTCTTAGAAACCATTTTTGACTTTGACGACTGAGAATTCCTTTGCGTTACACTGGAAAAAATCGCGCTCCTTAAAGGTTGTAAATTTGATGTAAATATGATGTAAGTGTCCAAAATTCTGTAAATTTGATGTAAATGATTTCCATTAAATTTACAGAATTTTGGACACTTACATCATATTTACATCAAATTTACAACCTTTAAGGAGCGCGATTTTTTCCAGTGTAACGCAAAGGAATTCTCAGTCGTCAAAGTCAAAAATGGTTTCTAAGACGTTCATTAGCTCGACGAAAAAAAGTACTCCCATACTATTAGCATACCCTTTGGANGATATGCTGAGTTGTTATTTAGAAGAAAATGTAGTATCAAACACATTTTCTCAACTACTAGCACGATTAATACAATTKTGTAAGATTGCTTCCGCGGTGATTGTTACATTTCGTTCTCGAGCAGCGCYMAAATGAAAGTTGATGGCTTTTCCCTTTTAAAAGATGATGCAAACATTTTCTCATAGCATTAACACATTCCGGGTAGTTAACTAACCCACTTCTTGCTTGATTACAAATAAATAATGAGATTTCTTGCATTTTTTTGTATATTTAAATTTCCTGAGTATGGTTTCAGTCTTTTTGTATCTTTGAATTGCTTTTGTACGGATTAAGGGCTTAATCAGACGTTTTATTGTTGGCATTTTTCACTGCCTTTTTTTAGATGAAGTTTTCACTTGTTTGCCCTGTTTTTCTTTAAAGGACATCATCATATAGTAAAATAAATGAGTTCCTGATATGAATACATTGAAAACTACGTTGATAACTACTCCAAAGTGTATGCGAATACAGAGTGCTTCTTTCGTCGAGCTAATGAACGTCTTAGAAACCAGTTTTGGCTTTGATGACTGAGAATTCCTTTGCGTTACCTAGCATCAAATTCCCTCAAAAATTCATAAACTTTTCGTTTCCTTTATATACACCCTTGCCTACCTTTTGTATCTGAATGCCAAAAGAGCAAGTATAATCACTATTATGAGTATGGATATTACGACTCCTATGGCCACACCAGTTGCAGAGTTGCCATCCGATTTTGCCGCCTTTTTTATCGATTCTAATTGAATAAAAAATGAAGTAAAAATGCGAGAAGAAGAAGCGGACGAGGAAAAAAAATGATATAAATAGAAAAAGACGAGGGAGAAATTATATAAATTTTATCTTGATGATGGTAAAAGTGTCGTATTTTTATTTGTCAGTACACAATTCCGGCTGTAAAGGCGAATTTTTATAAGCCAAACTATCCTACTTGGTAAAATATTCCTCTAATTACCTGCAGTGAGTTCAATCGTTGCAATATGCACTGGGTCGCTCACTTGGCTTTCCTGAAAGGTTGAAGAAAGTATAAATTAAGCTAAGGTGAATCAAGGAAGAAGAGGTAGCAAAACAAAACAAAAACGAAAAAACAAATAGAACGAATCGCAACTGCAAATGGAAGGCTGGAAGGAGGATGGAACTACGAAAAGGAAATATGTAAAGATATGAAAATAGGCATAGGAATGAATGCTTAGGGAAAAAAGGAAGAGGAAGCGAGATTCAGGAAATGACACACGTTAGAAGATAGAAGGGAGTGAGTTAAGATAAGAAGGAAAAAGAAAGCATGAAAAGAATGTAATATGGTGAGGATGACTAAACACAATGTCATAACATAGAATAAAAAAATCAAATTACTGCCTACATACTCCTTTGTATTTTGTGATTGCTCGCTCTGCTATGTTGTAAACTTGACCTTTTYGCAAAGCCACATTTTTGTATATTCCATACATYTTATYATCACCAATGACAAACATTTCTGATGCCTTTATCTGGCCTGGTGTTAGCTCGGCTGTGATGTAAAACGGTTCGTTATTATCAGTGGCTTTTTGGTAATCGTTAATTTTCCCCGGTATCTCGCTAAWGTTTTCCTTTTTACCAATGATTACAATCACCTGGTACAAACTGAAAAAATAAAGTCACACAAAGTAAGACAAAAACAACGGCAACATAAAAATATTTACATGAAAGAAAATTCCGATCATAGCCAAATAAAATAACGTTAAGGAAGACAAGGGGACCAGCSACTGATAAAAGGTGTATACACTTACCAT